AAAAAAAAAGCAATTTGCAATTTCTTGAGACTGCTTAAAATAGAGGCTCACTTTTAGATCTACTTTTTAAACGTGAAGTGAAAGTTTTTCTGCTTATACTAATTAAGTCACGAGATATAGACAGGAATTGAAATAATAGAGAAAAGAAACGAAGAAAACAGTTTCAAAGGAAATTGGTCTACTAGCATCAAGCTGTCAGTGGAATCATCTAAACGTATTACCCCGTCACCAGTCTTCACATCAATTGGAGCCCCTCTATCAACCAAATATTTGACAGCTTCAATGTGACCGTTCGCTGAAGCGGTCATCAATGATAATTTCTTTAAAAAAAAGTTTTTTAAAGAAGATTGAAACCATAATCACTGTTGAAAATAGTCATTTTGTGCCTAATTTACACTGCTAAACAGTTTTAATAAAAGAAATTTTTCTATTAATTCAAGTGAAATATTGGCGAATTTTCCAAAATAATAGTTTACAAAACAATAAAGAAAGCATTATTCTGCATGAAATTACGTCTTGATTTCAAATAAACTTCTTCTTTATGTTTTTGCAATCTTTACCTCGCCTTTCTTCTCTAAATTTGAATAGAACAATATTTCGAGCAGATGTTTCATGACGCCGAGGTGACCATTCTGCGACGCAATATTCAATGATCTGAGCTAAAATTGAGGCAAAAAGCTGCGTCAGCTTCTTTGAAGTTAATTTAAAAGTAACGACTGAAGAAGTAGAACGAGTAAGTCTAGTATAAAAATGTAGTAGAAATTTCCAAAAAATGGTTTTTACCAATTTTCTTCAGAAGTCAGACCGCCAACAAACAGAATCAGATCGCTTTTGTAGGAGAGAGACAGTAAAAGAAATCCAGAAAAGAAATGCTCGCTTAAAAGGTTTATTCTGTGTATAGGTCAGACCGCTGCCACAAAGCAGCTTTGTTTTCCTAATGAAATTGACCTCTTTATATGTGACTTTACCCCGGAGTTTTTGTAGCTGAGATTCGCAATATTTTCTAATAGGTATTTCACGACGTCAAGATGACCGCACTCAGACGCTGCATACATTGCTGTACGCTGGAATAAAACGTGAAATGCACAAAAGTCGTTCAAAAGGTAAGTGGTACCATCCTTGAGACAGCTAAGTGATTTTCAATTTCAATTTATATATAAAGTTGTTTTTAAGCTATACTGTGTTCAAATAGAAGTTCACGCTTGATAATGTGTACGTTTTATAACACACAAAATTTTATTTTTTATTTTTTATTTTTTTGTACAAGAAAAGGATATCATTTCTTCTAAGTTTTTTAAATGAGGTTGAAACGAATAGTCTAAAAGAGTATGAATACCCAATTTCAAATCTTATACATATACAGTCGAAGAACATGAATCTGTATCAAAAAAGTAGTCTAAATGATACACATGTAAATATAAGAATATGATACTGATAGCAGTAACGATAAAAGAGGAAGCACAACCTGGAAGTACATATTTTGATAAATTTTATTTCTGGAATAAAATTTCAGCAATTACGAAAAATATACCTAGAAGAAAGCAAGAGCTTCCAGATAAAGCTTAAATTGTTAAATTTCTTAGCAATGCTCCAAAATAGCAGAGAACAAGTGGAATGCTACAGACAGAGAATTTTAGCGAAACTTTATCTCACCTCTATCTT